AAAAAAAATCTTCAGATTTTGATTTGAATATTTCTCATAGTGAATGACCTTAATAAAGGGGGATTTTGTTTAAGTTAAATATATTTGCTGAAAGTAAATCACTTAATGTATCTTATTGAAATTTGCATCTAATTGAAATTTTACAGCCCTAGAGAATTATGATTCTGAAATTTCTGTTCAGAGGGAAGATTAGGAGGTGCAAGTTGTATAGTTGTGTTTTAAGTTTGGGGCCATTTCAGTTATCTGAGAAAAGTCCAGATTTACAAGTGTTCAGCCTTATTGCTGACAACAATCAGAATGTTTTCTCTGAACATCAGGGTTTTCTTTGCTTCTTTTCTTGCTAGATTTTATATTTGGGAGATCTTGCACTCTACCATTCGTAAGATGAACAAGCATGTGATGATGATCCAAAAGGAGCTAGAAGAAGCCAAAGAAAAATTAGCCAAGCAGCAGAAAAGAGTAGGTGACTTTTTTTCATGACTGTATGAAGAAATATAGCTTGAAACATATTTCATCAGCTACAAGAACATACGATTTGCTTTACTTTGCTGAACTAGAGACGGCAGCAGGACAGAAAGTTGGTGATGGTCATCATTCTATTGTGTCTATGGCTCAGGCCTTATTTTTGAATACTTTTCATTGAATAATTTAATTTTTTTGCATCTCCATGATATGATAAAACCACAGTTGATAACATGTAATCAACTTCCCCATATAATTGAACATGATTGATTTATATTTCTGATTTCTATGTTGTAATTTCTATGTTGTAGTGGAGACTTACAACATTTTTAAACAATAGTCGATATAGTCTAAAACACGGGTCGGCAACCCATGGCTACAGAGCCGCATGTGGCTCTTTGAGCCTTCTCCTGCGGCTCCCAGCCTCTGCCATTTGCAGAGAGAGAGAGAGAGAGAGAGAGAGAGACAGAGAGAGAGAGACAGAGAGAGAGAGACAGAGAGAGAGAGACAGAGAGAGGTACTTGCGCTTCCCTGCTTCCCTTCTCTCTCTCTATCTCTCTCCCTCTCCCTCTCTCTCTCTCTCTCTCTCTCTCTGTGTGTGTGTGTATGAGAGAGAGAGAGAGTATATATGTGTGTGTGTGTGTAAAAGAGAGTGGCCTCATGCTGTTCCGACGAGCTGACAAGCTTATTGGGCGGGGCTCTTTCCTTTGCTGCATCTCTGCAGGGAGAGCAGGAGAGAGCCAGCCCAATAATGTGTGTCAGCTTGTTGGAGAACAGCCTGAAGCCAGCTTGGCAGATGAGCAGAAGATCGGAGAGAGGGAGAGAAAGAGAGAGGAAGAGAGGAAAAAGAGAGGGAGAGGGAGAGAAAAAGAGAGAGATAGGGATTGGAAAGAGAGAAAGGGAGAGAAAGGGAGAGAAAGGGAGAAAAGAGGGAGAGAAGGAGAAAAAGAGAGGGAGAGAAAGAGAAAGAAAGAGAAAAAGGGAGAGGGAGAGGAGGGAGAGGGGGAGGAAAGTGAGAAAGAGAGAAAAGAGGGGGAGAGAGGAAAGAGAGAGAGGGAGAGGAAAGAGAAAGAGAGAAACAGGGAGGGAGGGAGAGAGAGAGAGAGACAGACAGAGAGAGAGAGAGAAAACTCATGCACAGCAGCCTCTATTTCTTTTTAATTAAACTCTTCAATCAAGGTCCCCACCGCACACACAAGTTTTGCGGCTCCCAGTGTTTTTTTTTCTCTGGGAAACGGTCCAAGTGGCTCTTTGAGTGTTTAAGGTTGCAGACCCCTGGTCTAAAACAACAGTTGAGGCACCCAACCATAGACAAAGCAGTCATTTTTGGATCATGTTAGTTTAACATTACCCAAAAAATTATGTTGTGCGTTCTCAAGCCAATTTATGATAATATATGCAACAATTGCCTTTTTATTTTTGTTTTGTTTTCAACGTTGAACATTTTTAATAACGTATCTTGAAATCTGCTTATGCCTGTAACTGATTTAAAATGACAGATACAAACTTTCAACACGTTCTCATTAGCTTCTGCCTCCTTAATGTCTCCTATTAACAAAAGTCTCACCCTTGGTGTTTTTGCTTTCTCTTCTTTTGTGCTCTTACTGTTTACATTTCAACCCTTTCCCTCCAGCGGGATGATGTCCGAAGCAATGAGAGGGGAAATTGGCCCCTTGAAGAGCAAATTGAACGTTTGCAAGAAAAAGTTGAATCAGCTCAAAGTGAACAAAAAAACCTCTTCCTTGTAATATTTCAGGTAAAAGCAGGGACCATATTGATGGGGCAATTAAAAGGGCAATCTTAAAAAATTAGTGTGGCTGCAAAATTCTAGAACAAGCATTTCTGCTTCATAAGGTTCTAAATTAAAATTCTGTGCATTTGAGAGCAAGTTGTTGAAAATAACGTCAGGTAATCCTTGACTTACAGCAGTTCATTTAGTGACCGAAGTTACAATGTCACTGGAAAAAAGTGACCTGTGAATATTTTTCACGCTTGCAACCGTCGCCGCATCCCCATGGTCACGTGATCAAAATTTGGATGCTTGGCAACTGGTTCACATTTGTGACGGTTGCAGTGTCCCGGGGTCACATGATCACCTGTTGCAATCTCCTGACAAGCAAAGTCAATGGGGAAGCCAGATTCATTTAACAACCATGTGACTAACTTAACTGCAATGATTCGCTTAACAACTGTGGCAAGAAAGGTCATAAAATGGGGCAAAATTCACTTAATTACTGTCTCACTTAGCAAAAGAAATTTTGGGCTTAATTGTGGTGGTAAGTCCAGGGCTAGCTCTACTGAGTCCATGTTTGCTAACGCTGTCATTTTGTACTCAGTTATTCCCTACTTAAGTCAGAGACCCTTGAAAAAAAAGTAATCTTGCCTACTATAAATCCAAAGCCAATAATTTCACCTTGTTGATTCCTTCCAGCGTTTCATTATGATCCTAACAGAGCATTTAGCACGAAGTGAAGCAGGAGGCATTGATGTAACTACACCTTGGTACAAGAACTGTATAGAGAGGCTGCAGCAGATCTTCTTACAGGCAAGTCTTATCTATGTCAGAATGCATGTGGTTGTTGAAAGTGAGATTATCTGGAAATCAATCTTGGCACCATTGATCGGCAATTTCTTCGTAGCGGCTTGATTCAAAAGCCTGAACAGGATATTGTCAGATTGTAGTATTTTGTTCATTATTGGCCCAAATTGAACTTGGATTTTAGCTATACTATTTTTGTTGTTTTCTTAGATAAAGTTGTGTGTGCATGTGTTAAATGATTTGTAGAATTATTTGCTGCATACAGATACCGAGGAGAAGCCAGTGAATATCTCTCTAAGATGAATGTGTCCAGCTGGATTTGCATCATTGACATGCTGTTGCTAATTAAGTCACAGCACTTTCTAGATCGATATTGGCATTTAAGATCAGACCAAAATCCTTTTTCTTCATTAGAAATTCAGTCAACTCAAAAAATACCTGTTTTGGGGGACATTTTAGTCATCTCATTTTGCTGGTATTTATTTAATCAGTTTATATGGCTGCCCATTTCGCAGAAGTGACTCTATGCAGCTAACACATTAAAAAAGAATACAAAGAACAATAAGTCAACAAGACATCAGAAACCTATGATAGTAGCCAAGACCAAACCCAACAGAGGTAGTCCTTGATTTACAACCATCCATTAATCATTTGAAATTACACTGGTGCTGAACAAAGGGACCTAAGACTTGTACTCAAAGTTACAGCTGTTGCAGCATCCCCACAATCACATGATTAAATTTGGGACACTTGGCAATCCGACCGACAGCAAGGACGCTGCAACAGCCTCCATCTGCCTATGTTCCCTCCCCAATCCAGCCTCACCAGGTCTCAGAGGCTTTGGGCCTCCTCCCTGCCCTCATACCTTGCTCCATTTACTTTTCCAGAGATTGATTTTCTGAAAGAGTAGCAATAGCAATAGCATTTAGATTTATATACTGCTTCATAGTGCCTACAGCATTTTCTAAGCCAGACATGTCAAACACAAGGACCAGGGGCTGGATGTGGCCCGCGAAGTGGTTTCATGTGGCCCGCGAAGCCATCCTGGAAACAATGAGGGAACGGCCCCCGCTGCCTTGGCCCTGGCCCAGGCCAGCCGGGAGCCAATGTACAATTTTGTGGTGGCCATCTATGCTGAAATGCATTCAGTCTTAGCTCCGACTGGAAACAGTGAGGAACCAGCCCCTGCCGTGTTGGTCCCACCCCCTGGGTGCATGCTGGGGAGGTGCCACCCTTTGTGAGGAATGAAGAAATGCACCATCGCCTGGAAGTGGCCAGCAAATGGCCCTCGCCTACTTCATATATCCAGCTTGATGGGCTCTGCCCTGGTCCCACCCCTTTCTGCCAGAGACCCTCAGATCTGTCCCACTCCTGTCCAGGCCCCCACAGGCACCCTTGACGTGAATGATGTAGAGCTGGCCATGCCCGCCCAGTAGGCCGCACCCACCCTGGCCACACACCCCGACTCCCCGGTCAACCGCAATACTGATGTGGCCCTCAATGAAATTGAGTTTGACACCCCTCCTCTAAGCAGTTTACAGAGTCAGCATATGGCTCCCAACAATCTGGGTCCTCATTTCACTGATCACGGAAGGATGGAAGGCTGAGTCAACCTTGAGCTGATGAGAATCGAACTGCTGGCAGTCAGCAGAATTAGCTTGCAATACTGCATTCTACCCACTGCGTTATCAGTACCCAGTGATGCAACATGTGGTCTTTCTACTGAGGCTCTTCACGCAATCCCAGAAGCGGGTCACATTCTGGAAGGGGGTGCGCCTCTTGCAATCTCTCAGAAGGATGCTATTTTCCAAAATTATTAAGTTCTGGGAAACAAAATAGTATATAGAAGCAGCTCAGGACACTGTTCCCTGATTCAGTGGGAGGGGTCCAGGGGAAGGGAAGGTAAAGCACAATCAGACTTGCAAGATTCAGTTTATAGTGTATCTTTATCTAGTTCTAGTCTTCATGTGGAGTCTGTTTCTTGATGTGATCTTGATCCAAGGGGCCCTAAGACTCACAGCCATTTAATGTTGCCAAATTGGTTGAGCCAAATCTTACTCTTCCCCAACCACAGCCTCCAGACTCTCTGATAGCACCACCAGTGGCATCAGGCCAACAACAGAGGTGTAGAGTTGAGTATCATTAGCACACAATTTGATGTCCCACACTGCGCTGTCAGATGACCTCACCCAACAGCTTCAGGTAGATATTAAATAGAAATGGGGAGAGTGCCAAATCCTGAGGAACTCTGCAGATGAAATGCTGTGGATTAGATCTCTCTCCCCTGACTGAAACCAAC